TGCACATGCCACTAACTCAAGTTTCTGCTTAAAACCTTAGTTCATAGCCCTTTACTCCGCCTGTCAAATGCTTTAAAACTAGGCTGCTGTTTGCCTCTTCAGCCTTATCCTCAGCCACTTATCCCGCTGTCCTTTAATCCAGCAAATCTAAACAACATCCCACACTGGTACCTCAGTCTCAAATGTGTCAACACCAGCCTTCTCCATCAACTCCAATCCCAGCCTTCTCCATCAACTCCAATCCCAGTCTCTCCCAGGACCTCCCTCTCTTTGTGCTTTTATAGTATCCTGCAGTTATCTCCATCAGAATGTTGCCACATTGTTTAGAAATGTCCATTTATACATCTTTCTCTTTAATTAGTGTATTAGCCCCTAAAGGGCAAGAATCTACATTTTACCATTGAATTCCCCGTGTTTACCATACTACTGGTATATAGTAGGTGCTCACTCTACTGGGATTTTATTGCTGCTAATTTCTTTTCACTTTACCCCCAAACATTAAAAAAAAAAATTAAAACAGCAAACAAAAACCTGTTCTTGCTCTACCTACCTGACTGTGAAACTTTTCTAATCAATCTTTTATGTCTGCTCCCTTTTTGTTGTTGTTGTTGTTAACTTTGGCCTCTGATATCTGACTGTTTGGTGGACCATACCCATGAGTTCATCATCCCTGACCTCTTGCCACATCCCACAGTTCCTCCTTCTCCTTGAAGCTTTTGAATGTTGTTCATATTCTCCTTAAATTATCTCCTGTTACTTCACGCCACTGCCAAGCCTTGCCCTTGTTTCAAATTATCCACTGACGTGAGTCATTTAACCTACCCTACCCACCAGCGCCAGAAACACATTCCCACTGGCACTTTTGGGCTGTTTGCTATTTGTGTTGGCAGCTGCCTCAGCGAAAAGTCTTATCCTGTGAAAGCCCCTTGTTTGAAGCAAGAATTTCTTCAAATTTAGTTTTATTGTACGTTAATTGGGATCCAAACCTCTCCCTAGTCCCCTGGCGTCATAGACTGAGCAAACCAGCCTCTTCTTTCTTCACTTCAGATTCCAGTACTAACATACCATTGGGGGGGCGTCATACGAAAAGAGATTTTTTGTTATTGTTGTTTATTAATTAACAAGTGCTTTTCAAGCATCTCTGTCCTCTCCCTAATTCCTGTTACGAGTACAAGTACATTTTCCAGGAGTCCCTAGGGAAAGGGGCTAGAGGAGGAAGTCACAGGGTGGGGCTGTGGTGCATTTAGGCTCAAATTTATTTTTATTTTTATTTTTTTGAGACGGTCTCACTTTGCAGCCCAGGCTGGAGTGCAGTGGCACAATCATGACTCACAGAAGTCTCCATCTCCCCAGATTCAGGTGATCCTCACCCCTCAGCCTCCCAAGTAGCGGGGACTACAGGCATGCGTCTCTACATTCGGCTAATTTTTGTATTTTTTGTAGAGATGGGGTTTAGCCACGTTGCCCAGGCTGGTCTCGAACTCCCTGGCTCATGTGATCCGCCGATATCGACCTCCCAAAGTGCTGGGATTACAAGCATGAGCCACCGCGCCCGGCCTCAAACTTATTTTTCAATTGCGGTTAAGATTATCTGAGGAAATAAATGTGTATGTATTGTGACAAATTTTACGTGGGTCAGTTCTCACTTTTTCAAGGGCCATTGTGTTCTCCTGTGAAAGCGTGGGGGTTGCGGATGTCAAACCCGTCCCTTAAACCGTATTTGGAGTGTAACCACTTCAGGAGTGGGAATGGTATTGGGGATTGTACTCAGTGGTAGACAGCACAGCATTTGCCCCTCTCTGTAATCCTTGGCAACTCACAGGACATTTGAGTTTATTTTCTGTAAAATGGGAATAACCTTACTGAGTTATCGGAGTAAATGAATAATGTAAGCAAAAGTACTTTCCGAAGCAACAATGCTAGTTTACTGAACCGAACACTGAGCAGAGCAGCTGGATTCTCACCCGTCGAGCCTCCCAGTTCTCTCTCCCCTAAGTGCGCCGCTGCGGCGGCTCGTCTCCGTGGCAACGTCCCAGCGTTCCGGGCCCCGCCCCCACCCGCCGCCAGAACCGGAAGCTGTCGCGCAGCTTGCAGTTCCCCGGTTTCTCCCCGACGGTGTCTGGGTGGGCGCTTCTCTGCCGGGAGGTGAGACCCGAGGCCTCTTTAGGGCCCCCAGGCCGCGGTCAGAAGCGGCGGTCCCCGGGCAGTGGAAGGGGGACGCGGAGAGGCGACGGCGGACTCGGCGCCACCCCTTGCTCCGCGCGCCAGTACAGCACCCTCTACACCGTCCCAGATCCCCAAGCCCCTCCCCGCCGCTGCCCCCACATCGCTGTCTGCCCGGGAGTCCGCGCACCCCTTCCCCTAGTCCTTCCCCGGCGGACCCCGGCGCCTGCCCTCCCAGCTGAACCCACGCCCCCTGCCGGCCCCACGCGCCGCCCGTCGGCCCCACGAGCCACCTGCCGCTTCGCCCCGGCGGTTCCCAGCCTGGGAGGCCAGGAGGTCCTGAGACTGTCGGAAGTCAGCCCTCCTGTAGCCCTCCCGCCACAGCAGGGTGGAGCCAAGAGCGGCGTCCCCGGCGGAAAGACCCCTGCGTCCCAGGCTTTGACCGAAGCCTCCCCGCCGCGGACCCAGTTCTTTCTGGCCGTCGTGCGGTGTCGGGGGTTCCTTCCCCCCTCTCAGGTTTAGCCCAGATTCTGCGCCTGGCGCTGAAGTGACAGGGCGGCCCCTCTCTTCCAGAGGCTGCTTTAGCCCCGGGGTCCCTCATATATCCCTTAGGGTACCTGACGGCTCCAAAGCGGTGACCTCAACCTTTCCCACCTCTCGGGTCTCGTTCCTCAGACTCTTCCGGCCCCTCTTCATCTGGGAGTGCGGCTGCCTGCCGCCGCTTCCTCCTCTGCGCAGAGAAAACGCGCAGTGGTCGCCCCAGGGGCCCCTGCTGCCTATGGCCTCTTAACCACACAGCACCATGGATAAGTGTGGACAGCCTGGATTCAGACCCCAGCTTTGCCTTTGGTCAGAGTATCTGGCTTTGCTGTGACTGCCTCCCCATCTACACAACATGGGGGTAAAAATAATCTAGAACTTTTATGAGGATTTAACCTTTGTATATTTTTACTAAGGTGTTTAAAACAGTGCTTGGCACATAGTAAATTATATTAATGTGTGTCTGCTATTGTTTGTTTCATAGCACATCATTGTGTAAAGTTGTATCGTTTATTTGGTAACAAGCTTTATGAACTCACAGGCTTTATACAGGACACTGGTGTTTCTTCAGTACCTAGAACAGTACTTGAAGTGAGAAAAAAAATCAAATGGCAGGATACATAACAAGGGAAGATGGAGGGGCACGTAAGATTTTTAAAGTAGTCATCATTTGCTGAAGTTGTACAAACACTGTCGTATACCTCCTGCCCAATTTAAAAAACGTGATTAGCCCGGGTGCGGTGGCTCACGCCTATACTCCCAGCACTTTGGGAGGCCCAGGCAGATGGATCACCTGAGGTCAGGAGTTTGAGACCAGCCTGGCCAACATGGTGAAAGCCCGTCTCTACTAAAATTATAAAAATTAGCCAGGCGTGATGGTACACGTCTATAATCCCAGCTACTTGGGAGGCTGAGGCAGGAGAATCACTTGAACCCGGAAGGCAGAGGCTGCAGTGAGCCAAGATCCCGCCACTGTACTCCAGTCTGGGCAACAGAGCCAGACTCTGTCTCAAAAAAAAAAACCAAAACAACAACAACAAAAAAATGCGATTAGTTACTAATGATACTTAAGAGTAAAATGATACAAAGAGAAGTGCCATCCCCACCCCTTTGTTGCTAACGAGCTAATAATACTTGAAGAAATCGTTGCCCTCACAAGTCACTATGATGGTGATGGTATTGTGAATTGATACAGTCTTTTTTGCAATATTTTGATAATACATAGCAAGACAGAATTTGCTATTCTCCTTTGATCCTCAGCAAGCAGAGGCTTGGGACATGCTTGAAAGAAATACTTTGAAAGGAGAAAAATCGTATATTCATAAAGATGTGCCTCCCAGCATTAATTATAATAGTGAAATTAGAAACAACCTAAGTATTTTAAAATACATAGTTAAGTAAATAATATGGATATGGAAAAAAATGGAAATACATTCAGATAAAGGAATGTGCGGTTGCCTTTGTTGTTGTTGTTTTTCTTTTTTCTTATTATTTATTTATTTATTTATTTTTTAATAGAGATGGGATCCTACTGTGTTGCACAGGCTGGTCCCAAGCTCCTAGGCTCAGGTGATCCTCCCATCTCCCACCTCGGCTTCCCAAAGTGCTGGGATTTCAGGCACAAGCACAGTGCCCAGCTGATTGGGTTTTGTTTTGTTTTGTTTTGTTTTGTTGGAATGGTTCCTTTAATGTGGAAGTAATGTTTTAACAGTAAAAACCGAAAGTACTTCCCTCATGAGACTATTTCTTTGAGCTCTTTGCAGCAAACTGAAAACTGATTGGCTCTTTGAACTGGCTCCAGAGTCATAGCATTTCTCAGGCTTCCTTTATTTCCATTATCTGAGAACTTCTATGCAATCCTGGGTGATCTCTTATTGTAATACTCAGTAGCCTTGTGGGCATGGTTTTCAGAATGAGTTGTGAATCGCTTATGCATACGAATTAATGAGTCTTAGCTATTTGGTTCTCTTAAAGAAGTATTCTTCAAAAGCATGTTTTCTGGGCCAGGCGTGGTGGCTCATGCCTGTACTCCCAGCACTTCAGGAGGCAGGTGGATCACCTGAGGTCAGGAGTTCGAGAGTAGCCTGGCCAACATGGTGAAACCCGTCTCTACTGAAAATACAAAAATTAGCCAGGCGTGGTGGCGGGTACCTGTAGTCCCAGCTACTTAGGACGCTGAAGCACGAGAATCACTTGAATCCAGGAGGCAGAGGTTGCAGTGAGCTGAGATCACACCACTGCACTCCAGCCTGGGTAACAGAGCGAGACTCCATCTCAAAAAAATAAATAAATAAACAAACAAATAAATAAATAAATAAATAAAAGCATGATTTCTGTTAAGACTAAGGTCAGTATTTCCTATACAGTCTTATGTTTCTAATCTCAGTTGTTTTGTTGTAAGAAGCATTTGTCTTTTGTCTTCTTTCCACTTGTTTCTTTAATCATATTTAAGGAGTGTCCATAAGGAGAGCTTTACTTCCTTGAGGATTAAAGCCCAACAGTACTGAGCTATTTGTCTGTCAAAATGTCTGCAAAATTGGGAAAGTCATCATCACTCCTAACACAAATTTCAGAGGAGTGTAATGGGATTCTGACAGTGAAGATGGAAGAGGAAGAACAGACCTGTGATCTGGACTCTAACCTCCACTGGAGCAGCAGCTACAGCCCAGAGACCTTCCACCAGCAGTTCAGGCAGTTTGGCTACCAGGATTCACCTTGGCCCCGGGAGACTCTGAGCCGACTCCGGGAACTTTGTCATCTCTGGCTGAGCCCGGAGGTGCACACCAAGGAGCAGATCCTGGAGCTGCTGGTGCTGGAGCAGTTCTGGCCATCCTCCCAAAAGAGCTACAGGCCTGGGTGCAGAAGCATCATCCAGAGAATGGAAAGGAAGCTGTGACTATGCTGGAGGATGTGGAGAGAGAGCTTGATGAACCAGAGCAGGTAAGAAGGATTCCTGTGGAGATGAAGCCCCAGGCTGAGTCAAGAGTGCTGGCACATCATTGGGCGTAGAGCTCTCAAACTGTATTCCCAGTCAGCACAACTTGATGTGTAGGGGTGAAAGTACTAATGGGTGTCCCAGCAAATAGAAGGTGGCTCTACTTTTTACCTCCATTTTCCTGTGTCCATGATAGTTTTTGCATAGTTTATTCTCTGTCATTTTATCCTCAAGTCCCAATCTCATGGTGTTCTTCAGCCTCAGTTATTCCTGTTTTTAGGTCTTTTTTGGACAAAGGAAGGACATGATTGCAGAGAAGCTAGCACCTTCAGAAATCACTGAGGAATTGCCAAGTAGCCAGCTCATGCCCGTGAAGAAGTAGCTCCAGGGAGCATCATGGGCGCTTCAGTCCTTAAGACCGCATGATGAGGGGGCAGGATTCAGTTCATGATGGAAGGTGTAGGGGCCCTCTGCTCACCACACACATCTCGGCTGATTTATGCAAGAGGCCTCAAATCTCCCGCTGTCATCTTCTTACTGTGGAAACTTCTGTTATTTGTCCTACTAAATGAAGATCTTCAGTATTCTGTTCTTCTTTTTCAGAGATTCTTATAAAATCTTTAGATATTAAATCCCTGACATCTCATCAGGGTTTTCATGCCTTTTTAAAGTAGCCCTTTTATCTTCAGGCAGCCCTTGAGGCTTGTCTGTGGGACCCCAAGGTACACAGCCCAGAGACCACTGATCCTCATCATCATTTCCTATATGACTGCTCAGTTACTGGTGGGATCTAGTAGCAAAATTGCCCATATTGCTGCTAAGGTGACTTTGTTCTCATACATTCTTTGAATACATTTCTCTACTCCCTCACATCCTCAACTGGCCTCAACTGATCTTTGCATTGCTTTCTATAAGTGCTCCAGAATAGCTGTGTAGCAATCTGTTCTTCCATTGCAAATACTAAACAAATAAGTGCTAGGGAGAAAAAATAAAAACAAAACAAAGAGTAAAGGGGTTAGATGAAGGTAAGAAGTGGAAATAAGGCTGAGTTAGAGGCCTTATGGGTTGTGACTGCTTGCTCCTGCTTCAGCCAGAGTAGCTGTGTTTTCATCTGTTTTATATATTGGAACTCAATGTAAAATTTCATTTGATAAAAGGGCCACGCTACTGTAAACAGAATAGCGGGGATAGGATTTTATTATATAGAGTGGTAGGAAGGCCTCTCTGATGAAGCAACGTCTGAGCAGAGACCTTCCTTCTAGATGATCATCCTGGATAAAATAGGAGCCAGAGATTAAGAGGGAAATCCTACTTGGGAGCATCGCCTTCCCTCCCTCCAGCACTGCTTCCATCGTTCAGGAGTGGCTGATAGCTAAGCAAGGTTAGAGTTTTTCCAAGGGAATTTTTATAAGAAACTACACAAAGAAAATACAGTAATTTAGAAAGATTTAGAAAACATTGCTTACCCTAACTTGGCAAGTACTGACTCTCAGAAGGCTTCTACTGGGACACATAATACCTCCAGTCTAGAAATTGTCTTAGTTTACTTAGAAAGTGAAAGTCTTTTCAGGAAAAAGTATTTTCCATCAGGAAAGAGAGGGAGACCATCCCAGACTCAGCAGCTTGGTGTGGCGGTGACTACAGAAGTATCAACCTCAAAGCCAGGTGTGGCAAGAACCACATCCTACCTGTGAGTGTCCTCATGGAGGCCTTTCCTACATTTTTTTAAAGATTCATAGAAATTTGAAACAGAATGCAAAAGGTCCAGGATCTTGCAGTACATGGCAGAGAGAACCAGCATCATGTGGTAGAATAATAGAACCATTTCTTAAGGCCACAACATGATTTCTGTGGTACTGAGTCATGTCTTATCAAAGCTTCTGGGAGATGATCTTGGTCTCAGTGCTGTAAAGTTTTAATTGATGCCAGGATTTTGATAGTAACGACTAATCATTGAGGTCACTTTGGAATATAAACTAGCAAAAATGAATTTGAGACAGAATCCTTACCATTTATAAAATGATTTCCACTTAAACTAGTAACAATAAATGAGTATGCCATATGCTATGGTTTAAATATTTGTGTCCTCCAAAACTGATGTTGAAACTTACTCCCAAGTGTGGCAGTATTGAGAAGTGATGCCTTTGAGAGGCAATTGGATTATCACCCCTGCCCTCATGAATGGATTAACTCATTCATGGATTAATGAGTTCATGGGTTATCATAGGAGTAGAACTCGTAACTTTATAAGAACAGGAAGAAAGGGCTGAGTTAGCATGTTAATATGCTCACACCCGTCACTGTGAAATGCCCTTCACTGCCTCAGAACTCTTCAGAGGGTCTCCACCAGCAAGAAGGCTCTCACCAGGTGCACCTCTCCACTCTGGACTTCTGAATCTCCATAACTATAAGAAATTCTTTTTATAAATAAATTACTCAAATTCAGGTATTCTAAGCAACAGAAAATGGACTGAAACACCACATTTGTGAATAAATACAATAAATAATTTTAAATTCCTTTTGTAATAACTATTTAGACCCATTTGATTTGATTTGATTTGATTTTTATGTAGGTTTTTTTTTTTTTAAAGTTAGGTTTATTTAGTTTGCTGCAGCAAGAAAGAGAACACGGCACAGAAACTATGGGGTGTGTTATTAAGAAGGAATTGGGAAGGGCTTATGTTAAGATTTGAGCTTATGTTGGGTGATTCTAAGGAGATTGTAGAGACAGCAGGTAGATCCATTTTAAATAAATTCTAAAGAGTAAAACAACTCAGTTTTCTTATTCAGTATCACACTCCATCACTAACTGTTCTCCCCAGACCACCTTTCTCACCCCATCCTTTTGATTAGGCCTTGAGAGGGCCCAGGGGATCACTTATCATCAGTGCCTCTCTGGGTTGCTTTTAATCTTATTTATATAATTACTTCAGCTCCAGCCAAGTCATGTCCCCAGATATGTCCAAAACTGTTGTACTTTGCTTTTATAAACTCATTTTAAGCTCCTGTCTTTCAGCAGCTTCAGTTAGAATGCCACCATGAGGATAACTAAAGTGATTTCTTCAGGTAATGCATCCACATTACACTGGCATTTTCACATCTGAGTTAGCAGTTCTGCTGGAGCTTTAGGCACCCTGAGTCATAAGGCCCTCTGCATCAAGCCAGATTTGTGTGCCGCCTGAGTGACTGCAGCCCATAAGCAGCCATGTACATTTTTCATAGATGTTAAAAGTAATACAAAATAATACAACAAACAGCCATTCAACCAGTAATATAACATCCATACAGGAGTAGAGGTTTTTCATCGATGGGTACTGTGCTACCCTTGATCTTTTGAGGTACTAGTTATCCTAGTCTATATTCTTCCCTTTATTTGCCTAACTTATATTTTCTTACTTTATTTTCCACATTCCCTTTTGGCCCTTTGGCTTTCTTCAGCTCATTTCTTGGTATAGTTATTGATTCCTTTATGATTATTTAGCTTTTATTTGTTTATTGATACCCCAGTACTAAATCTTGTTTCTTACTCCCACTGGCGCATTGGATTCCTCTCCTTCAAGCTATCTCTCTGTATCTCCAATCATTTCTTCTTTTTAAGCCCTTTCTTTCCTTCCAGACTTTCCTTAGTTTCTGATGTCTTTTTATCCTTATTCCCTATTCTGTCTTTTCCGTAGAACTTTTCATCTTTATAGTGTAGTTGACTGCCTCCTCAGTATGTAAACCTTTCTCTTTGTCTTATATAATCTTCTCAATATTTTGTCTTACACTCTCCATCCTTCACATTGTGTGTTGTTTTATAAACATGCTATCAATAATCATGTATATTTCATTTGGATCATTCTTTCTCTTTCCTGATGACGTTCATTTTTCTATTTCAGATGAAGACATCAAAACTACAAATGTGAAATCCGCAGCAAGGCAGAAGACTTCTTTAGGCATAGAACTGCACTGCGATGTCTCTAACATCCTTTATATCAATGCCTCCCAGAGTTCCACATATAGAGCAACCTATGAACAAGACGGTAGGCTTGAAAGGAGACAAGGAAACCCTTCTCGGAAAAAACAACACAAATGTGATGAATGTGGCAAAATCTTTAGTCAGAGCTCAGCCCTTTTTTTTACATCAGAGAATCCATAGTGGAGAGAAACCTTATGCATGTGACAAGTGTGCAAAGGCATTCAGCCGAAGCACGATTCTGATTCAGCATCAACGAACCCATACTGGTGAGAAGCCCTACAAGTGTCATGACTGTGGCAAAGCCTTTCGTCAGGACTCAAATCTTTTTAGACATAGGAAAAGACACATTAGAAAAGAAGTCCCATAAGTATCATGAGGGAATCAAACATTTACTCAGAGCTATTTCAGCACAAGGGAAGACGCAAGGTGCAAACGCTCCTTAGTACAAATCAGTGGTCTTAGTAAGCACCAGACTCCTTTCAAGAGCCATGAAAGCCACAGGAGAGAAGGTTGAAGATCTCATGTCAGCATAATTTGCTTTCCTGCTTATTAATGCAGTGTCAATTCTGATGTTTGCCATTCCAAAGCTTAATTCAGATTTCCATCCCTACACAGCTCTTGAAAAGGCATTCTCAGACATGTTCTACTATTTTCATTATTAACACATATAATGAACTAGTATATATCTTTTTAGACAAGTTGTTTTTTCCCTCATTGAGAAGGAATGTTTGAGTTACTCAGTGTAAAAATAGATATTCTCCTCCATTTCATAACTTAAGCACTAGAATTCTAAAGACCAAAAATTAAAGCACTCAAAAAAAATTCCTGGCTGGGTGCGGTGGCTCGTGCCTGTAATCCTAGCACTTTGGGAGGCCAAGGTGGGGAGATCGCCTGAACTCAGGAGTTCAAGACCAGCCTGGACAACATGGTGAAACACCGTCTCTACTAAAATTCAAAAAATTAGCCAGGCGTGGTGGCATGCGCCTGTAATCCCAGCTACTTGGGAGGCTGAGGCAGGAAAATTGCTTGAACCTGGGAGGCGGAGGTTGCAGTGAGCTGAGATCACACCACTGTACTCCAGCCTCAGTCTCGCTCCGTCTCTAAAATAAAATAAAATAAAATAAAATAATAAAATTCCTATTTTGTCTTCTGTTACCAGATTCAAAATATGAACATAGGATTGCAGAGGCCCAAAATAATATGTACTTCAAGACTAGGCTGAAGTGTCCCAGGTCACTTTCAGGAGGCAGAGAAATAAAGAGCCTTAATCTCTTATGAAAGCACACAAGAGCCTCCATACTACTGATATCAAGTGAATTTCCTATGTTGGAAAAAAATAATCTCCTTTGCAATGTAACTTGGAAATAAGTCAATGGAAACATGAAAATGACTGCATGTCTATAAGGAGTCAGCTAAACAAGGAATGTTTTCATAACAATATTATTCTGTGGGTGCTTCTGTAATTAAGATGATGATCATCTTAATATAAAGAAAAAAGGGAGATGAACGAAATTGTCAAATGAGTGATGTACCACAAGTGTTGGCAAGTACAGTGTGTGATGGAGAAATGTACCACAGCTTAACTAGAGGAAGCCCTTAACTGCTGATGACAATGCTTCAATGTCCCTTTTTCTGACACAAATCAGCTATGAATATGTTTCAGGCATCACAAGACAACCTTTTCAGAGTCGTCTGCATTCTTAGTAAGATGAGTTTCTAGACATGCTGTCATGAAATGAGACCCTGGTTTTGATGCTCTTGTACATATGGACAAATCACTGAAGTTCAATGTAAAGGGTCCACTGCAGTCCCTTATAAACAATTGTTGAACCTAACCATTATAGTTTATAAGTTTTAAGACATTTATGGGATATCTTATTTGGCTTATATATGGGATATGAGTAGCTATAAGTTTTACCTGTATTTAATTCAGCCAGATTCCCTGTTGAAAAATAAAATTACTGAATCATACATTATTAAAATTATTCTGACAGTATAAAAACAACGTAATTATCTCTTTTCCAGAGATTTTTGATAAAACTCTGTAATGTTACTACAATAATACATGTGTTGTGTTTTCCATGGTGTTACAGTACCCAATATGGAGGCAAACATCAGAAATCAAAGTCCTTGGAATAAGGGAAAAGACTCATAGTCAACTTCTTTGTCTGGTTGGGTTCCTCATAAAGTGTAAAACATTTCATTCTTGGAAAATCCAACCATATCTTCTGGAGTATCTCCAGAAATTGGCTTAGAGGAGCTCCAAATATGTGGAATTACCACAGTCTACTTAGTTACCATGCTGATAAATATAAGATTAGTAGAAGAAGTGAGTGTACATTTTATTATAGAATTTTCTGATAGTGATTATGATTTGTAGCTCTAGTGAATATGAATTTTATATTGAGTTGTGTGTATTTTGAGTCACTAAAAATGTAGGATGCTTTTTATTTGGGGCTCATTCTCTTTGTAATTACAGAGAGGAACTAACCATCTGTTGAAACAACAAATGCCTCAGAGATGTGTATATTGTGAATTACTGCTTAAATACGGAAAGAGTTTCTTAGGTTCTGTGTGAATAAGATGGCAGAATCTAAATCAAGTATTTTGAAGGAAGCACCTATCTTCACTTGGTGCTGCTGTCAACTTTGTAAGGTTGCATTCTCTTTATTGTGAATAATATGAATGTCTTCACTAGAAAGTGGCGTGAATCATATCGTCTGTGATGAATCTTTAAAGGGTGTTTCTGTGTACTTTGAATTTCGTAGTTATGTAGGTATCCTAATGAGTGAATGGTACTAGTTTATATAAAAGGAGAATTAGTTAAGCTAACCTTGGTTTTAAAAATTAGCATTTTATTAGCATTTATTATTAACCATTATATTGATTAATTTTCAGGGATAGTAGATACTCCAAAATGAAATTGGTATTGTTTTATGGCTTTCACTTTATCTGGGCCTTCAAGGTTACCAATAATCCTTTGTGGTTTGTTTGTTTTTGGTTTTGTTTTTGTTTACCACTCCCATTCTCTTCAGAGACCAAGTCAAATGTTCATCACTGTCCGTACAACAGTGGCTTAACACAGCAAGCCTTTCTGTGTTAGGAATGCTTCTGGTTGCAAAATCCATCTTTGGTGGTTTAAACAAATAGGAATTTTCAACCCGAAATCTGGAAGGTGGGTTGCTGGCTCTTAATCAGCAGCTGGAAGGTCTAGCTTTACCTCATGCTATTTTGTCCAATTTTCGAGAGAGCTGTCACAGCTCTAGGAACTGGGATTAAGTCAGGAAGAAAGGACAAAGACAGCCATGCTAAGCAAAAAGCTTTCCAAAAACCCTATCAAAATCTTGCTTATGTTTCATTGTTACAAGTGTGTCTGGTAGGGAAAGCATTTTCAACCTCTAAAGGGAAAGCAGGGCAGATGGGGGTTGAGGACGACATTGGGTTAGCCAACCGTGTTTGCCATACTAATCCTTTGTCACCTTACTCCTTATGAGCAGACAAGTATGTTTTGATTCCTGCATTAAAGGAAAAAAAGATAAGAACTCTTACAAGTTCCTGTGACTAAATTTGCCAAATTATTTACACTTTACCCATCATTTCCTTTCCCTCTTCTGAGAATGAGAGAGGGGTCTTTCCCCTCTGAGCCTCACAGCATTCTCACCTCTGAAAGGCCTTGGCTTCCAGTCATTCTTCCTCTCTTCTGTTTCTTCACTCTCTGCCTTCCTTCTGCATCCATCCCTTTAACACTTAAATATGCTGTTGTGACCCTCCCTCCTACCCTATATTTTTCCAGCTCATACTGGCAAAATTCAAGGTGGTGGCCAGTCCCTGAGTGAGGGGAATTATGTGACCCTTAACTTTGCCCTCTTCATATGCATTCATCTCTCAACCAGAGTAATCTTGCTAAGGCATACATTTTATCATGCCCTTTTCCTGTCTAAGACATAGGCTTTCCCTTGTTTTAGGATAAAGTCAAAACTGCTAAACAAGATTTTTAAGGCTCTTTGTGATCTGACCACAGCTTACCACTTCAGCTTCAGCTCTTGCCATTGCCTCTGTGCTTCAGCCATTATGAATTGTCAGAAGTCCTCCAGCCTTTGGACCTTTCCATGTACTCTTTTTGAACGCCTATCTAGCTTTCGCATGTTACCTAATTCCTGTGTATTCTGCATGTTTTAGTTTAGGTACCACTTCCCTAACACCCAAAGAGTAGGTTGGGGAGGACCACCACACTCTTATGTTAATTGCATATCAGTCTGTTCTTATCCTTACCATTACATTTATCTCATGAAATAAAATATTTTTAAAGTATTAAATTGCAAATATGGCTTCAAGGAAGAGGATAAATGACACCTTGGGGTGGAAAAAGTTACAGAGTAGCAAAAAGAAATATTTTTAAGGCTCTCCTAGTCCTGGAAAGAGTGAGTGAGAGGATGAGAGGGTCAGGCACAGGGTGTCCTTTCACCTCTGTTGCCCAACCCCTGCAGAACTGTGGAGGGGGTTAGGGGAGAATCAAGGGGAGAGGGCTGTGCCCTCTTGCCATTGAGTGCATTGGGAGGAAAATTGTTGAACAGACTGCTGGTGCTCCAACACTGAACTCTCATAAAAACGGCAATTCCATGTTAGGTAAATGGCCTCTGTCAGCTAGTATGTGGCTTGAAAGAGATATGGCAGTTTTCTGTACCTGGTGGGAACCTTGGAAAATAGCTGACTATAGAGCTGGAAAGTTGGAATAGTTGAGCAAGTAACCTTGTGGATCCTGTAGCAAAGAGCTGCAGGGCCCACCAGAGCTTAATGGGGACCTATAGCTCTTCCTAGAAACAAAGTGGAGGCAAATCATCAAGGAAGAGACACTGATCCCCAGCCCAACCAAAACAAACAGATGATTTGTTGCCGCAGGTTTGGTGAGCAAGCACCACAGAAGACCAGTTGCCCAGAATAAAAACCAGAGAAGATCAGAACAGCAAGCCTACCTAACACCCAATCCATAGCACCACCTCGTCACAGGGAATGTACGCCCCCCTCACCTTCTCAAGCAGATGGCAGAAAAGGGCAGAGTGAGAAATAGCCATGAGAGGGAGTTGAACTTAAAATGGACTGAATAATTCAATTTAATAATTAATAACTAAATATAACAATTTAATTCAGCTCTTTCACCACCCACCCACCCACCCAGTGGGGCAGGGATTCAAGAAAAAAAGATTATCAGTTATAAAAAATAAACTACATTTTCCTTTGCTCATTTGAGAAGCAATGTGATAACTTTTTGCCCTGTTAAATGGAGATTATATCTATTTCTGTATTGACTCCACTATTTCATGTTGCTTGAGAGCATGAGCTGCCTCATTCATTTACCATTGTTTCCTAAGCATCTGGCACAGTACGTGGCCCATAATAGGCACTCAAATACTTGTGGAACAAAATTACTTGAAAATTATGTATCTGATAAGGGATTACTATCTAGAATATATAAAGAACCCCTCCAACTCAACAACAGAAATTTCAAAAATGGGCAAAGGTCATGAATAGACACTTCTCCAAAGAGGATACATAAATGGCCAATAAGCACATGAAAAGATGTCCAACGTCACTAATCATTAGGGAAATGCAAATCAAAAGCACAACGAGATACCACTTCACAACGTTAGGATGGTAATTATTTTAAAAAGAAACAGGTATTGGAAAAGATGAGGAGAAATTGGAACCTTTGTGCATTGCCATTGGGAATGTAAAATGGTGTAGCTGCTATGGAAAACAGTTTGGTGTTTCCTCAAAAAGTTAAACAAAATTCCCATATGATCCAGTAATTCCACTTCTATGTATATACTCAAAATATCTGAAAGCAGAGACTCAAACAGGTATCTGTATACCAATGTTCATAGCAGCATTATTTGAAATAACCAAAAGGTGGAAACTACGCAAATGACCATCTACATATGAATGAATAAACAAAATTTGGTATAGACATACAAGAGAGTATTATTCAGCCCTAAAAACAAATGAAATTCTGATACATACTACAAGGATGAATCTTAAAAACACTATGCTAAGTGAAATAAGCCAGACAAGAAAAGACAAATATGATTCTGCTTATTTGAGGTACCTAGAATAGGCAAATTTGTAAAGACATAAAGTCAAATAATGATTACCAGGGCTAGAGGGTAGGGGGAATGGAAGTTAATTGTGGATACATGGTTTCTGTTTAAGATGACGAAAAAGTTCTGGAAATGTAGAGTGGTGATAGTTGAATAACATTATGAATGTTCTTAATACCACTGAATTGTACACTTAAAAATGGTTAAAATGATAAATTTTTGTTATGTAGGTATTATCACAATGAAAAACAAAAGCATTGGAAGAAACAAAAATGAAGCTGCTTTTTTATAATCCCTGCCATAATAAACCTTATATTCTAGCAAAGAAAAAAAAATCTTGTGGAATGAATGTTTTTCAAAAGCAAAGAATCTGAAAGATAAAATCCAGATGTCCTTGGTGAAAGGACTGACTGTAAGCCCAAATAATGTTCCCTTTGCCACTAAACATTGAGGACAGGGGATGATGAGATTATCTAAGGAGCCCTGGAAGAATGTTCAAATGGATCATATAGGCCACAGATCCTGAATGGCTAGGAAATAACATAAAGATTGGTTGTAATTTCTTAGATTCAAAATTATTTTCTTGTATAAAGCTATATGTTTAATTACTTTGCTGATTCTCGAGATTTTGCTCAATGTATGTACATTATTGTCTGGGTGTATTAATCTTAGCTGTCTTTGAGTCTAAATGGTTTGTCTTCAACTGAAGTGTCATTTTTATTCAAAGGTGACAATGACATTGGGAGACAGCTTGCATAAGGTGTGGAACTCCAGTGTCATAGTTAATGATCAACCACATAGACATTTGGTATCTTTTCCTATATAGCTTAGGAGGCTCAATTCTATCCATCTTAGAAGTAGTTGTCAGGATTCTAGGTAGAATATCTCCAGTTGGACATGTTAAT